TCTATGCATGCAACAACCAAAGTGAACACCAGAAACACTGCATATTCTGCAATATTCCTCACAAGGCATATAGACAAAGAGAAAAAAATGTTAACCTCCCATAACAAATGTAACTGAAAACTTTTTTTCAGGGAATAAGAAAAAAAGCGCTTTTTTTTTTTTTAATCTGTAGTAGCAGCGATTGCTGCGCATCTGTTGTCTGTGCCCATTCCTATTCATGGACATTAGTGAACGCACAAGAGAAAGCAGGGATGTTGGTTCTGTTTTCAATGAAAAAGTAAGAGAAATGCTGCAGTTTGTTGCTATGGGCAGACCCAGTGGCTGCGGCCCTGAGCACAGTGAATGGGCTGGGGCAATCGCAGAGAGACAATGCTCACACAGACCTTTGGGCCTCCCTCGAATAGGAGCGATTTGAAAGGAGCCAATATCCTCTGCTAAAACGAGAATGAACTGAGCAAAACAAATGAAGGAATTGAGCTCAACTTCAGTGTGCGTTCTTTCCCCTGGCTAATTCTGAAGGGAGGGCAAAGGCGTCCTGCGCTGGGAAAATGCCAGCAAGACGGGGTTGAGAGGACTAATCTTTTCACAATTAGAAAAATCCCTATTAGAAAAATAATTTCGTGAAATAAATCAAGAACCAAGAGGCGCGACCTTTCCTCAGGGGGACGGCGCCCGACCCGGCTCCGCCTCGCCCCCCAGCACCGCCGCCCGCCGCTGGGGGGCGTCAGGGCGCTTCCTAACGGCATCAGCGCGAGGGGCGCCGTGCGGCCGCCGTCACCGAGGTAACGCCGGCGGCGAGGCTCCGCCTCTCCGCGACGCCCCGCCCCTCCACGAAGCCCCGCCCTGCGGAGCTGCTCACCTGCCCGGGGGCGGCGGGGGCCTCCCCCAGCAGCAGGGAGGAGCTTCGTGCCGCGCCGTGCCCTCGGGCACTGCTCCCTGCCGTAGAGCTCCGTTGACGAAGAACTGGCGGGCAGAGCTCCGCCGCGCCGGCAATTCCATCAGTCAGGTTTTGGAGGGTGGGGAACGGGGGAGGAGAGCCCCACAGCGCCGCCTCCCCCCAGCTCGAGCTACACGCCAGTGGCCTAGGGGTGTAAAAGCAGAAAAAAAACAGAAAAAAAAAATCGATCCGTAAGCAAACAGCGCGGTGTGCCCCGCCCCGCCGCACCGCGCCGCACGCAGCACCCGGCCCGCCCCGCGCTTCGGGCACGCGCGGGCACGCACGGGGCGCGCCCCCGCCTGCACGCACGCGCGCATTCCCGCAGCCCCGCGCCGCGCCGCCGCTCCCCGGGCCGCCGCCGCCGCCGCCGCCGGGTCCGCACGCAGTGGAGGGACCGGCCCTGCTGAGGGGGCGTGGTTGCACGAAGGTCTTTTTTTTTTTTTTTTTTCCTCCCAAAAAAGAATTTTTTTTTTTTTTTCAAAACTGACTTTTGCCCCTCCAATCCTCGTCGCTCTCCGCGATCCCTCCCTGCCTGCCGCTGCATTCAAGTTTATTTATTTGCCTGCTGGCGCGGTGCGTTTCTCCTTGCTGCTGCTGCTTCGGAGGGCATCGGGCAGCAGCTGCGGGCAGGACCGCGCGGAGCCGCGTCTTTTCCCCGATCTCCGTATGTAATCCTCGGAGGGGCGGGCGCTTCTCTCTTCCCCGCGCCGCTCACTGAGCCGTCCTTCCGCAGAAGTTGATGTTCCTGGGACCGGACTCTGCGCTATCACCGCTGTGCTCCGGGAGCCGGCAGCCGGAGCCCCCGCGCCGGAGCGCCCGGCCCGGCCCTGGTGCTGCACTTCTCCGGGGCTTTGCTTTTTTCCACGCCCTCTCATAAAACAGTTTTTATTTCCATCTCCTTGGTTTCCACGCCGCAATATTTCTTGGATTGGCCGCGCTTTTTTTTTTTTTTTTTTTTTTTTCCTCTTTTGTTTCCCTCCCCCTGTTGTTTTTTTTTTTTTTTTTTTTTTTTCCGCCTTTGCTGTTGCTCAGCCCTTGGTGCATCCACCGCCCAGGAACAGGAAGGACGAGAAAACCACTCCACAAAGTCTCCTTCAAGACACACTGTGCTGCAGAACAGGCTCCCCAACTCCACCAGCGCAGCGAACAAACTCCTCAGGGGTTTTGCTCCCTTCCCTCCTCCCCCCAA